GGACTTAATGGACTCGTTGATGGCTTTATATAAAACTAGGATTCGTTCTAAAAAGTGGTACCTCCGCATTATGTTCCATATATTTGATTTAGCAGTTGTGAATGCTTGGTTACTTGATAGAAGGGACACCCAGTTACTTGGTATAAGAAAAAACCATGAACTAGAACAAGAAATAAAGCAGAAAAGGAAAAAAGGACCTATAGCTTCTCTACCGGATAAAAAATTTTCATAAAAGCGCGGTCGTTGCAAGAAACCGGGATGCCTAGGCGGGCCAAAAATTATTTTGTGAAAAATGTAATATAAATTTGTGCTTTATGCCTAATTCTAATTGCTTTGTGGACTTTCATAAAAATTAACTTTTTTCCATTGTAACCTTAGAGTCAACACCCTATTGAAACAAAGGAAATAAAGAATTAAATAAAATCTTTAAAAATGTTTAAATTTGATCCTATCCTGAAAGTATATAACAGTAAAAAATTTTTTGCAGTTAAAAGAAAATTGGGCAGTACAGGGATTAAATATTGATTTTAGCAAAAAAATGAAAGAGATCAAAATTGTAACAATTTCAGTCCATATCATTTTTGTCGACCAAAAAGACAGCAAACCATCGGATAGGTTGTGGTCTCTTGATTTTGGGACCCGAAAGGAATTATTTTCATTGACTATTTGAAACATGGAGAAAAAAATCAACAGCGACTACTGCACTGGATTATTAGAGCCTTTAAAGATCTAAATCGCAAAGAAAATACCTCATTTGTTGAAGAAAAAAGTCTTGTTTTACCAAGGACAATGCACCATGACCGAAGTCGATGAAAACGATGGCAAAAATGCACTAATTTGGCTTTGAATTGCTTCCGCACCTACCGTATAGTCCAGATCTGGCCTTCAACGATTACCACCTTTTTTCCAATCTAGAAAAAATGCTCCGTGGTAAGAGAAATCGCTTCGATGAGGAAGTAATCACCTACACTATTTTGAAGGCAAAAAGGGCGACATCGGAAAATTAGAAAAGCGTTTAAATGATTGTATCTCCCGCTATAGGAGATTTGATGAATAAAATATAATTTTTTCAAAAAAATGTTTTACTAATCGTGCCCAGGACTTATTGACCGACGTAATATAGGCATAGACAATACTGATATAGTTCTAAAATATAAAAAAAAAACAACTGAAATTTGTTTTGTTTTATCGATAACACGGATTAAGCCGTGCAAATTTAGCTGTAGTAGATAATACAATCATAACCTATGGGATTTGTGACGTAAGTTTTTATTAATGATTAGATTAGATTATATTGGTTTTTTCTGAACATATATGTCTAGTATTTCCAGTCTTTTGTACGTTAATATACATTTGCCTCTGCATATTAAACCGGATTTTAGCATATTGGAAAAATGTCGCGAATTTTGTGTTGAAGTGGTAAATCGTTAAATCTATTATAAATGTAGACATATAAAATCTAGTGTACTGCTAACGACATCTTCTGTAGTATATTTTGTTTGAAGTATTTTTTGTTTACAGACATTATTTGCATCTTTAAACAGGCAAATTGTACCATTCTATTTTTTTTTTTTCATAAACAACTCATATAGTTGTCTCCTAAGTTTCCAAATGCTTTTATAATACTCGCCTATCTTTGACTTTTGATTATTATTTGTTCATTTGACACAAGAATATTTTTAATTCACGCTCCTAGTCAAACCTACAATTTTTATTCAGAATGAAGCTCAGTTTCTAAAGATACCTCATCTATATTTTAGCATTTTTATTGACGCAAATATCCATAGGTTTGTTAAAGTTTTATAACTGACCCTTTAACTCATTTTTCTACTTTGTTAACAAACAATACTAAGCCATCCTGATCACTCCCTGTCTTTAAACTATTGAAAGAAAGCTGTAATTAGTTGCCCAATTATTTACCTTAACCTTTTTAAAATCAGAATTTTTGATACTAAATGAACTTTAGTAGTTTGACATAAGTTAAAAAGAATATAATGATTCAATGAGTTTAATGTATGTACCTATCTGATGCTTAGAAATGAGGATGGTAAAGCTGTGTCGGTATTTTAAGATATTTGTTAAGGTAAATATTTGTGAAATTTCATTGTGATATTTTCGAGTACGGTTAGTTTGTTGATAATTAAACATAGCATATTGTAACGATTTATATAAACACATCAAAAATGTCTCAATAACACAAAGTTTTTTCTCATATATACATCAATTTTGATCGGATTTTAAAAAGTGACTTTCCTAATATTATTCTGAAGCTATTTTATTGTGGCATCTTAATGCAATCACTATTTTATTTCAAATAAGCCACAATTTTTAAGTTTATTATAATTGGACATAATTCGCTCAGTGGAGAATTACCAACCCACGAAAAAGAAGAATATAGAGTATTATGCAAACTTGAATTGGAAAAGTCTATCAAAATTAAACAAAACGTAAGCAAAGAGGAACTAAAGGCTGTAAGAACTTTAAAAAATGACTACTCCATAATTATCCTACCAGCAAATGGAATGCGACTCAAAATTCAATATGAAAACAAAATTAAAGACCTAATAACAAACGGACCTTATACAAAATTAACAAAGGATTAATTACACCTCATTACAGTAAAACCCCTCATTTTTATGGAGTACCGAAAGTTAATAAAGCAAATACACCACTTAGACCTATTTGTATTACCATGAATTCTCCTTGTAGTCAACTGTCAAAAGTTTTATAAAATATTATACTTCTTCTTAGGGTTCCTGTCCGTTCCGAACGTTGGCGATCATTCTGGCTATGATGACTTTGTTGGTTGCTATACGAAATAGCTGTGTTAAGGTCTTTCTATACCATGCTCTCGGATTAGAAAGCCAGGATATTCTCCTTCCTCCTGGGGTCCTTTTTTCTTTAATTTTTCATTATATGTTCCAAGTGCTGCAGCTTACGGCCCTTGACGATGTTGACCAAGTCCACGATTGTGTTCATCCTCCGTAGTATTTCTTCATTGGTAACTTTGTCTGTCCATGGTATCTTCAGGACCCTTCTGTATAACCATAGCTCAAAAGCCTGAAGTTTGATAGACATTTAATCTTTTGGGTATTGTCCCACGACTCATTAATTACAGTTCCCAAGTAGTTGCACTGTGGGACGCGTGCAATTCTCATTTGGTCCACATACAGATTTGCTCCGTTATGTTTTCCTTGCTGATGATCATTACTTTGGTTTTTCTGCTGTTTATATCCAGTCCATATGTTCTACTTGTTTCCATTATTTTGTTCATTAAGTTTTGCAGCCCTTATGTAGTGATACACTATTGTATTATTTGCATACCGCAGGTTATTGAGCTGGACTCCATTTATTGAGATGTCTTTATCAATATCTTTTAGAGCCTCTTTAAAAATATGCTCCGAATACAGATTAAATATTAATGGTGAAATTATGCACCTCTGTCTCACTCCCCTTAAGATTTTGACCTGATCTGTATATTCTCCATATATTCGGAGTACCGCTGATTGATTCTAATACAGATAAGCTATTATTTTTAGGTCTTTTCCGTCAATCCCTATCCTCTTCAGCACTTCCATCATTTTTTCATACCTGACTCTATCGAAAACCTTCTTGTATTCAATCAGACATGCAGAAACATCACAGCTGACATCTCTACATTTTGTGAAACAATACCTGCACGCTAAATAAAGCTTCCCCATACGAACGGCGTTCACACATCCAAACTGATTGTACGCAATTTGTTCCTCGCATTTCCGGTAAATTCTTTTGTGTATGGCTTTTAAAAACCAGCTTTCAGCCACACTACTGGTATTTTTCCTGCCTTGTATATTTTATTAAATATTTCAGTTTTATTTTTATTTGTTTCTTTATCTAATAGCTTTAGCAGTTCTGCAGGAATTTCATCAAGTCCCGGTGCTTTTCCATCTTTCATTTGCCTCACGGCTGCCGCTATTTCTTCTGGTAGGCTTTTGGGACCTGAATTTTTTTCAATGGTGGGTTCTTGTATTGTTCTAAGGTCGTGGAAAAGTTTCTCAATGTATTCTTCTTATACATTCTTATCTTCTTTGGTTATGGCAAGATTACCTTCATCATCTGTTATTTTTCCGCTGTTGCGTTTTCGAAACTTTCCAGCTATTTCCTTCACCGTTCGATTGATATTCAAGTTATCATAATAACTCTGATACACCTCTATTTCTTGGCATTGTTTTGTTTTTTGTTTCTCTTTGGCTTCTGTTACCTTTCTTCTGGCGATGGTATGTTTTTTCTTATAATCTCGGAGATTTTCTTTGTTTATGTTTCTCTGATCCATAAGTTCGAGTATTTCATCGGTTCAAATATTCTACGATTTGCAAATAAAAATAACACATTTATACATAACATTTTTTAAATAAATTATCGAATATTGAATTTAATTCAAATAATATTGTAGTCAGTTTTGACATAAATTGTTTATTTACAAATCCATAATTTTGACATAAATTGTTCCATCAGGTAAGACTTTAAATATAATTAAAACAAAATTAGAGCATGATGATACATTGACATCTAGAACAAGACTAAATGTATCAGTTGTAATAGAGTTATTGACATTATGTACTGATAATACCTATTTTCAAACAAATAATGAATTCTGTAAACAAAATTTTAGTCTAGCATAAAAAACATAACTCTCACTGGGAAAATATACCCGATCAAACACCTGCCAAACTTATATTGAGCAGACATGTGCTAATATGGCTGAAAATACTGCGGATAAAAAGCAGCAATCAGCTAAGAATCATAACAGACTTTCTTCCGTCATAAAATGCAACTGGTACATGGAGGACGACTTGATCTGAAACTGTCAACTATTTCTTGCGTGACTGCGTATCTGGCGAGAATAAGTTTCATGAAATAATATGTACAATAAGCTAACTGGCTGAATTACAACCAGTTTACAACAGACACGGATTCTATGAAAAAAAAAAGTAATTGTAATCTAACCAAGATATGCTATTTATGTTAATTGTTTAGAATAATTATTAATAAAGTGTACAATTTTTGAGATTTCTCTTATATTTTTAGGAACCTCGATCCAAACCTTCATCATCCAAAAGCGAAGAGAAACAGCATCTTCTCGATGGCGAATATCAACAAGAAAGTTCCGCCGTTACTGTGGAGGATTCTACAAATATGTATGAAGAATTCTGCTTCAATCGCACCATCGAACATCCTACATCAAATTTTGATACGATGATTCATTTGCTGAAAGCTAATATAGGTAATGTAACATGTAAAAAACTTATAAAGTTTTAATTCACGTATTTCAAATTCCATTCTGTATAAGGTTTTAAATTGTGTTTTAAAAATATTAGGAAACACTTTAATTCGTCTACTTCTACTTCTTCCTATTGGTATATGGGCTTTAAAAACTGTTTCTTCTTCAATATTAGCCTCCTAAATTGTTTAAATTATCACACCATCTTTTTTTTTTTGTGTGCCAATACTTCTTCGTCCATTTGGTGACTTATTTGGTGCTATTCGTACTATCATATCCTCTGCCATTCTACTGATGTGTTCGTTCCACTCCTGTTTCCGTTTTGTCACCCATCCATATATGTCGTCTATATTGCATGCCCTTCTTATGTTTTCGCTTCTCTCCTTATCCAACAGACTTTTCCCTAATATTCGTCGGAGTATTTTCATCTGTTGTTTCTAGTAGTTGTCCCTTTTCTCTGATTTGTCTTAGTACAAATACGGCGTATACGCAGAATCTTCCGGATCTAAATCCTTGTTGTTAATCTGATAAAGTTGTTAGTTTATCGATGTTGTTGGTTAGGACTTTTGTGGTAAGCTTAAGTGCGATGTTCAGTAGATTTATACCTCTATAATTGTTGGGGTCTTCTTTATCTCCTTTCTTGAACATTGGTATCATTATGCTGTTTCTCCATGCGTCTGGTATCTTGTAGTGCAATAGTAGTTTTTGTATGTTCTGTTATCTCTAGGGTTATACTTTTTCCTCAGTGTCTTAGAAGCTAGTTGGTTATTCCGTCTGGTCCTGGTGACTTTCTATTTTTGAGTGAATTGATGGCTATCTCTACTTCCTGAAAACTGATTTCTATTTCGTGTCTTAATTCAGGTACGTTATTGTGTTGATTAATATTTTCCTTTTCTTTAAACAGTTCCGTCAGGTATCTTTCACATTAGTTTACTGGTATGTTATTGTATTCCTTCAATTCTGCCATTTCTTTCCGTTAGTTTCTTATGAATCTCCATATTTGTTTTTGTGTACCATAGAAGTCGTTTTCCATCCTTTTTGTAAACTGTTCCCAGTGTTTATTTTTTATATGATATATTTTATATTCATATCTCTTTTATTTCTTTTCTGAACCATGCTGTATTGTTGTTGTTTCTTTTGTTCAGTATGACTTTCCGTTTGACTTCAATTCTCTTGGAATAAATACTACAAATATTACTACTAATACAAACCATACCAAATAGATTTCGATTTGGCGTAATCCATAAAAAAGCTAATAATTACACAAAAATATTTCTTTAGTGCAACTTATTTTTTTCCTTTTTTAGGAACCGGAATTTTAGCAATGCCTGATGCGTTTCGCAACTCTGGTTGGGTGGTTGGATTGTTCGGAACATTATGTATGGGTTTCATTTGCACACACTGTATGCATATGCTGGTAAAATGTTCCCACGAACTTTGCAGAAGAACACAAGCACCCTCTTTAAGTTTTTCCGAAGTCGTGGAAAACGCATTTAAAACAGGACCAGAATTTTTGCAGAAGTATTCGAGTTTGGCCAAGTAAGTTGTGAGTTTTAGGTTAGGTAAGAGTATAGAATATAGGAGTGATTAATTACAGGGACCCGATCCGTCAACTGCGCATGTGCAAATATTTGAAATGACATCAAAAGTGACAAATATGGACAATCTCCAACCTAAAAAAATCTGAGCAAGTTTATAAAAACGATTAGGAATAAAAATAGGAAATTTTAACATATTTATTTCTACAGGTACATAGTTGTTACATTCATAACTAAAATATAAAGAATAAATAACTTGTTACTCTGAGTAATAAGAAAGAAAATCACATTTATAATGTATATTGACGACTTTGATATTAACAGTACAAGATTGTTTATTTTGTTGTAGTAGCTTATGGAAATTGTTAACTTTGCACAAGATAGTTTAAAATATTTAACGTAATACACGTTTATGAGTGCAGATACGGATTATAATAAATTATTATGTAAGTATTATTATAAACTTAAATTTATTTATTGTTGTTGAAAGTAAACAAATTATTAATGAACTAAATTTAAATGACATATTACGGTTAATCTTGTATGGGTTGGCAAAATCGTTGTCTTTAGGTGGATGTTTTTCAAAAGTTGTCTCGTTCTAAAACGTGTTTAAAACAGCTTAATTCTTCAATACTCTTCCATAAAAAAACTGAAGTAATGTCGGACATAAAACAGAGTGTTTGTATTTTCCAACAACTTTCATAATTTTTGTAAAATAAACTTCATTAATGTAGAAGTCCTTTCGGTTTGAAAAAAAAAGTTACTGGAAATCTTCCAGACACTTATATAAACGCACATTTTCTCCACATTGCATCGGCGTAGAAAGCTTAGACTGATTTGAGAAAATTTTACCACATCAAACAGTTCAATGACATATTTACAAATTACGTAAATAGGAAACTATTCAAAACAATTTTTATTCGACAAGGCAAGATACCGCTTAACATTTTACATTTGAAGGTTCGAAATATTTCGAATGCAGTCGTTTCGCACATGCGCAGTTGACGGATCGGGTCCCTGTAATTAATCGCTCCTTAGAATATACTCCATTACTGTGACGTCATTCTATAGTGTTTTGAGGTTAGTCTAACAATTAGAGACAAGCTTTTTGTGACATGCAGTATTTTAAATACTTGTTTAGTAGATTACTAATGTGTTTTTTTTTGTTTTAGGTCACTAATAAATATATTTTTATGCATAACGCAACTAGGTTTTTGTTGCGTATACTTCGTTTTCGTCGCTGTTAATCTTCACGATATCATAAAGCATTTTTGGCTCGACATCGGCACACCTTGGTACTTGTTATTTTTATTAGCACCTATGGTTATGCTCAATTGCGTCAGAAGTCTCAAGTATTTAACCCCAGCTTCGCTGTTCGCGTCGATAGCGACCTGTATGGGTTTGGTGATAACGTTTTTCTATATATTCCAAGGAGGTTTGCCGAATACATCGACGATCAAGGCGTTCTCTTCGTGGAAACAGTTGCCGCTTTATTTCGGGACTGCTATTTATGCTTTCGAAGGAATTGGAGTGGTGAGTATAGTAAACTGTGTCTGTTTTGTTGATTTAAAATAAATTTGCTGGAAAAAAATAACACCTTCCTCCTCACAATCCATACCTCCGTTGAAAGCTGTGGTGGTGTGTTTACCAACATAATGCGTTTTTATGTGGAAGACCAATCGATTTAGAAGTTCTTTTAAAATTCTTGATGATCGTGTTTATGTTATATATGTTAAGGTATGGATTTGAAAAATAAACAGTCGTACTTTACTACTAATATAAGGCTTTATTACCTATAATATATATATATATATATATATATATAATATATATAAATATATAATAATATATATATATATATAATATATTAATATGGTTCTGGAGTTTTTCAAAATCGATTTTATGACCTGTATGAAGATGATGTTGACCAAGGGCTGAAATTGAATCAGAATTGCGAACAGAAAAGGAATGTTCATAAATCCTGTTTTGGATTCTACGGTTTGTTTGGCCTATATAGGATCGGGGACACTCTGCACAAGGTATTTCATAAACTCCGTGTTGTTCATTTGGAATATTGTCTTTGATAGAACGGACAAGAGATGAAAGTTTTTGTTGGGGAGTAAATATTGTTTTTATTCCTCTTGGTTTCAGAATTCTGTCGATTTTGTCAGTGACACCTTTGATATAAGGAAGAAAAGCTTTCGTATGATAAGGGTCTGAGTCTTTGAGTTGAGATGAGTGGGAGATTGATGTCTGCGAATGCTCCTATTGATGTGATTTTCGTGGTAACCGTTTTGAATTAGGGCTTGTTTTAAACAAGAGAGTTCAGCGGGTCTACTTGCATCATCGGAAAGGCGTATTGATCTAGAGACAAGGGTATTAATGACTGAATTGATTTGTGAAGGTGGATGGTGAGAGTTGGCATGCAAGTAACGATTGGTATGTGTGGGTTTTCGATAAACAGAGTAATGGAAACCTTGGGATTGGTTTTTCTTGATGAAAACATCGAGAAACGGTAGGGATGAATCAGTTTCCATCTCCATCGTGAACTGGATACTGGATGTGTACCATTCAGATGATGTTTGAAAAGACACTAAAGCATCCCTGCCATGGGGCCAAATGACGAATGTATCGTCAACATATCGTAGCCAACATGTGGGTTTGAGCATTGATGTGGATAATGCTCGGGTCTCGAAGTCTTCCATAAAGATATTGGCAATTACTGGAGATAGAGGGGACCCATTGGGGCACCATTTAATTTGTCTGTAGAATTTGTTTTGAAAGATGAAATAGGTCTTGGACATACAATGTTTAATGAGAGATAAGTGATCTTGTTGAATATTGTATTTAGTTTTAAGAATGTTTAAAGTTTCTATTGGAATGTTTGTAAAGAGTGACCCAATATCGAAACTAACTAGAATGTCTGACGGTGATATAGGGTATTGCTTAAGAAGTTCGATGAAATGAAAAGAGTTTTTGACGAAGGATGAAGCATTTTCGACGAAAGGTTGTAGAGTTTTGGCCAAATACTTGGCCAAGGGTTGTGTAGGGCAGTTGTATGCACTGACAATGGGACGAAGAGGGATATCGGGTTTATGAATTTTGGGTAGGCCATATATTCGAGGTGTTCTTGAAGATTTTTCACGAGGAATTAGAGATTTTTTGATGTCAACAGGAAGAGAGGTTTTATGATGATGGCTTTTGTTGTTTCTTCTCCAGATAGGTTGTTGGATTATTAGGAATTGGTTTGTAGTCTGAAGTATTAACGAGATTTGAGAGTTTATTAATGTAAGAAGAAGTGTTTAGGATGACTGTGGCGTTTCCTTTATCGGCAGGAAGAATGACAAGATTTTGGATTTGACTGAAGTTCTTTCAGGGCTTTTTTCTCGGATTGGCTAATATTTTGAATAGGCTGCTTTGAGTTTCTAAGAACTATAGAGATGTCTTGCCTGGTTATTTCAGCATCTTCGGAAGATAAACTGGAGATGGCTTCTTCAGTTTGACAGATGATTGTCTCAATTGGAATGTGACTTGGGGTACTCTGTTACCCAAATCTATTATTATCTGGTCTGCCGCCATTTTGTAAAATTACGTTAAGTAGAAGCATATGTCAAGTTATTCCACTTTTGAAAGCTGGTATATGAAGGGGGCAGGTTCTTATTAAAAGAGATATGTTTTCTTGTTTTGAATGAGTTATACTTTCAGGTGTTGCCGTTGGAGAACAATATGAAAAATCCACAAGATTTCAGCGGATGGAACGGCGTACTCAATACTGGAATGGTAGTAGTTGCAGCGTTATATACCGCGATTGGATTCTTCGGATATCTTAAATATGGGGAAAAAGCGGTGTTGGGAAGTGTTACGCTTTTGTTGCCACCTGATGAATAGTAAGTAATTTTCCTTTAGTAACTTCATTATATTTTGTAAATAGGGGAAATAAAAATAACAAAAAAAAAATAAATAAAAGTGGCATAATAAAGCGATAAAATCATACCGATTGAAAAATAAAATAATAGCTATAGAATATGCTGAAGCAATTAATGAATAAATAGAAATAAAATACTGAGAAAAACAAAATGTGGAAACTGTATGGCAAACACTGAAAGATACAATACTGAATACAGCAGAAAATCTATGTGGTGTGAATAAAAGTAACAGTAACAACAAAATGCCAGTAAGCTGAACCAGTTGTGAATCTAGACATTTGTATTGGAAGGGAACTTCCAATGAAACACCAACAGAGAGGCGTAAAAAAGATAAACCCAAACAACTTACGAAACATAAATAATAGATTTTCTTTAATTTTGCACCCTTCTTAGGGGAAGCGGAAATTTCCCCATTTCCCACCGTGTATATCCGCCCCTATGGTAGACATAATTAGGTGTAAAATACATTTAAATAAAGGATACATGGAGAAAATATTTAAGTAATAGACAGATGGAAACTATAAAAAATATAAAGAGCAGAGAAAAACAGTGAAAAATGTAATATTCGAACCAAAACAACGAACCTGGCTAGGTTTTGGAGAAAAACTAGAAGACAGCAGGAGCAATCAAAAACTACAATATAAAAGGTCTAAGAGGTCTTCTTCTTTTAGTGTCTTCATGGCACTACTTCTGTACTTTGTATACTGCTGCACTGAATAGATTTGTGGTTATTGTGTTGAACCACGTTTGAAGATTTTTAAGCCAGGAAAAGATACAGACCTCAGAGATGAGATATTTACGAAAGGTACAGGAGTAACTAGAAGAGATCGGGTAAGAAACAATGTATAACAGACAAATTAAAAATAGAGTCGATGGCAGAGATGTTGGGACGAATTAAAAATATAATCGATGGTAGAGCATGTTGAAAAAGGGCAGTTAAGTTAGCAGCGACTCTAAAATGAAATACCTGTCAAAATCGTTGTATACTCGGCGGCTGAATATGCTTTCCCGGTATGGCTCAAAAGCAAACACACGAAGATTATTGACACCCAATTAAACCAGACAATGCGAATGATCTCAGGTACAATTAGACCCACACCAAACTATTGGCTTTCCATTCTGAGTCACATTATGTTGCCGAAACTGCGACGAAGTCATTCTCTTCTTGGAGAATATCGAAAAATCGAGGCTAACAACTAGATATCCCCCATCGTTAAGAGCCAACTCCTTACATCAGAAGGATCCTTGGAGACAGTCAGCCAAGACCCACCCAGGGTTGTAGCACTACGTGATGATGATGAAAGCTTGGAGAAGACAATGGGAGAGCTACTCACCACAGGAAGCACACCAAATGGTGAACTGACTCGCAATACATGGACAACGCTAAACAGAATAAGAACAAGCAGCGGTAGATATGCAGACAGCTTATATAGATGGGGGAAAGCCCGTACTCCTCGGTGTGACTGTGGCGCGCAACGACAGACCGTCCGTCACATTGTTGAAGAATGCCCCCGACTTTCATTTGCGACAAAATACAAAGATTGCGTACAGATTCTTGGTAAATCAATCTTCAGAGGGAGGCCGCGAAGTAGGAGTAGCTTTTGCATCTTTTTGTGTCCCAAAATTGACATTCTCAGCCAAATTCATCTTGTTCGTATAATTTTTAGAGGTCAAATCTCTGACAACTGGACTATTTGATCCTAGAATAGTTTTAATAAAATTAACATTTTTTGTAAATATATATGTTAATTAATTGTTTGTTTCAGTTTGGCGCAATTAGTTCGTCTGATGATGGCCGTGGCAATTTTTTTGTCCTACAGTCTCCAATTCTACGTCGTGTTCCACATTATCTGGCCCTGGATCCAGAATCACTTCAAGACAGATAAAAGCAGAGAAATAGCAGAATATAGTCTAAGGGCTCTTCTTGTATTCGTAACCTTTGTTATAGCAATTGCGATTCCTAATTTAGGAGCAGTTATCTCGTTAGTAGGCGCTTTCAGTAGCTCAGCTCTTGCGTTAATATTTCCTCCTATCATTGAGATTATTACGTTCTGGCCTGACAAGCTAGGACAAGGAAGATGGGTGTTATGGAAAGATATATTTATAATTGTATTCGGTTTTCTTGGCTTTTTGGTCGGTTCTTATACAAGTTTATTAAATATAATTAATTAGAAACTCCAGTCGATTTCAAAGTTACTCTGACAATATGATTGACAATAACATTCAAGAGTATTATCGTAAACCAGTGATTTGAATATATTTAAGAAATGAATGTGATTACTTGATATCCATGTAGAATAATATTAGTTTTTTTCTGGAATCAGCGTGGAATTATTTTTACTGACAATCAAAGCGGATGCTGTCATTTACAGACCACTGTTTACTTTTTTCTTAGATCCAGTGTAGGCTCTGTCGTGGAGGTTTATTTCTTCTTCATTTTAAATCGTCATTTCATTACTACTTTTCTTGTCTATTGTTATTATGATATTAATGAGAAGATTTTCAGATATTTTTGCAAAATCTTATTTTATATCGTTTATGCGTTGAGCAATTGCTTTGTTTCTGGCATAGTTCTTTAACTGAGAATAAAACGAACCTTAAAAACGGATGACGTGACGTCAGACTAATTTTGCACGGCGTTGTGGATTAAATATCTTTTATAGCTGTTATTAACGGTTCAAATGGATGTTACAAAAAACGTTTCACTTTCGTCAATGTATATGTCTTTTTCACTACATTTGCTACTTGAGAATGCAAATTCTCCTTTTGGGTGCTTCTCTATCTATATAAACAATTCATTGTTGTATTTATCAGTTGGTTTAGTTGGTATTGGTTTCACTTACGAAAGAAAAATTTTCTAGTAGATATACATCCTGGTTTCCTGGCTTTTATTTTTTTAACCTTCTAATACTGTTTGTTTAGGTTAAGTTAGGTGAGGTTGTCACATAGACATATAATATAATAGACCTTCCCATTGGTCATTTAGGTCTCGTGGTTGATAAACTAGGCCCATTAGAAAGAGATACAGGAACTGCCTTTCGTCAGTTTTCTCTGTCGCACTGGGGGAACAGGTCGTCTGTATTGCAGCGCTCAGTGTATTTGTATTATGTCTATCAGTTTTAATTCCATTTTGTTTAGCGGTTCAACAACCACATAATCCAAATCCTGCAGAATTCACAAATTTTAACACATTTTCATCAATATCTTCGGCTTTTATTATGTTTTATATCCAAATTTCACTATTCATTGCTCTTCTCAAATATACTTTATACATATGTGTCTAATAAACTGAAACATTAAGGTATTAGAAGTTTATTGTTAAATAATATTGTATTTTTGACTGTAATAATTGATTTATATGTCTATGGAGACAACCATTATCTTTCGTAACCTCACTTTTTCAATGAAAACGTTGCATTTAGTACATTCTATTAAAAAATAATAATAAAAATACATGACACATTAGTCCTAATGAAACCCGACGTTTGTTGTGGTCGTGATCCTAAAATTAAACAAACTGCTGAAGAAAAACAGATTTTTGAAAGGAAACTGAGTGCTCTTTTAAATTAAAATAAGAAAATCTGTTTTTCGAGATGCATACAATCGTTTATTTCAATTTATTTACCATAAACTGTAAAAATAAAGAGTGTACGTGTGAGATGTTGCTGAATATCGGTTATTATAGAAATAGCGTAGCGTTATTTCGACTTGTTTAGAATCAAGTTAACCTACAAAAATAATGATGTGACGTCAGAGTTCTGGTATTGGATAGTTTGACGTTTAAATACGTTGTATGGTTGATTGTCAGTTGACAAAATGTGAGCTTATTTGTAATAAATAATATTGTTCATGCTTTGTAATTTGGAAAGACGTCAGATTACAAGTTTGTGATATTTTAGTTACTCATAAAAATAAAACAAACATTTGTTGTTCTAGTCATGTTTTTAAATGTGGGTATTTTAAAAAATATATTATTTTTTATTGTAGTTATGTATTTTTAACAGAAAGTATATGTCGGCATAAGTAATTTATGTATATTATAGAAAATATAGTGTCATATCAAAATCTTATAAACGCATTTTAAAAGAATACATATTTTTAAGATCATGCGTCTTTTATTTTTTACATGTTGGTAATTTGCGGCTATGATTGTGTTACAAAGCCTGAACACAGAATAGGAAACAATCAGAATGCCCACTCTCAGATGATGCCTTTGAAGTTTTTCAGCACGCTATCTCCATGTCTTAAACTGAAACAGACTAGAATTGAGAAATTTGTGACAAGTTACGAAGAACTGTAATTTCAATTTTTAGAGATTAATAATTTAGTACTTTGAAATAGTTTAAACTATTCTTCAACTAAAAGTAAGAATAAAATAGTGCATATTATGTCTATACAGCACTGGTTCCGTTTAAAACATGGCTGATTCCATCTGCGCATACTTATTTTTTCAAGTAGAGTGGGCATTTTGATTGTTTATTATTCTGTGGCCTGAAAATAAAACAACCGCTCTAAATACTAAAAGTGGGTATAGTCCACTGGAATTTGTAACAATGGCAAGAGCTATCAATGTGGATGTTCTAGCTTTACCTCCTCACACATCTCATAGGTTTGTAGCCCCTTGATGTAGCCTTTACGCGCCCCCTTTACAATAGATTAGTACTAACATGTCTTCGCCCAGTTATCACACTTTTATGAAATAAACATAACAGACAAGTAAACGCATTAAGTTAATTTTTACTATTGTAACGCAGATTTGTTTGTTATTAAATGGTTTGAACACAAATATTTCTTCCACTCTTTTACCTTTTTTTCTAAAAACACATTTTAATCAAACAAAATTTTAATAAAATTAAATTTACATTATTTTGTAAAAATATACAAAAGTTTGTACACCGTTTTTACCTCCTATACCTATATCTTTTAAAGTGGAACCACAATTGGAAGATGTTATTGTGAAACTGACATCTGAATCCCCTTTTGTATGAATACTCCCACTCCCTATTGACAATCTTGAAGGCAATATCTTCGTATGGAGGCCCAGCATGAAATCTTAATATAGCAAATTCTTTATTTTCTGGGCAAGGAGTCAGATAATACTCTGGAGTACTACTTTTGTCTATTAAATCTGGATAGAATATGTTAAACTTGTATCCCTGTACTATTTTTGGAGGGGGATTATCCATATCATAATGGGTTTGATTGTATTTATTCCATTCAAATCCTGTGTGTACCCTATTAAAATATCTGGGTTTCCTAGGACGATATTTATCAGACCACAGATAGACTTGACTGTCCAAAGCTTGCTCTACAGAGAACTGTGCCTCATCTGCATCCATGCCCTTACGAGCTTCTTTTTGTAACATCAACTCTTCTTTCGTTATAACATTTTCTACAGTTTTTCCTTTGCCAACCACCTGCAAGAAACCAAAATTAATATCACACTATATTGCTGTAAAAAACTCTTATTATTAATAAAAAAAAACAATATTTTCCGTTACAAAATGTAACATCATGCTGCTGAACTCAAAACAAAGTAATCTGAACATACCTGAATTCTTGCAAATTCCAATCTTTTCAGATCATCTTCTTCTATAACAACAATAGTTCCTGGCTCTATTTCATCTGGAGTAAGAAATTTAGGACTATATCCACCAGCTTCATAGGCATCAAAACACTCATTCAGCCACGAATTAGCAGCTTCCTCATCTGCGGGTTCATCCTCATCATTTTCCTGCAAAAAATAGTATAAACTTAACATGTGCAAACTAACTTACATAAGTTAGTCCATAGTCTGTAAATTACCTTATCATCAGGTTCCTGAGAAGGCCCAGGTTTCGGTTCTTGCACATCTTTCGTTGGAGCTTCCTCACCTCCACTGGAATGACTTTCACTTGGAGCTGTTACATTTATGGCTTGTTCAGCTTTCAAAACTTGAAGTTTTCTCCTCAAGCTTTCTTGATGTCTATCTCTTAGTCTAGCTCTAGCCATGTGTGCCTTAAGTTGTGATAACAGGGATTCCCAGTAACCTATATCAATACCATCAGCTTTGCTGCTTATTTTTCTCTCTATTTGTTTCTCCAAAGCTGCTAACTGGACAGCGGTTTTACCTGAAATAGAAGAAATCACATGTCACTTTGTCATTCATTGTATTCTCAGAAAATTCAAAAAATAAATTACTGATTTAACACTACAAAGAATGAAGTTATGATTATGAGAAGTCTGCTAAACAAATTGGGATATTTGAAAAAGATAGAAAAAGTCTTATACATATAGTTTTCAGAGCATATCTCTACATAAAATCCAAGTAAGTATCCTAACATGAGATTGGTAGATGATTTAAAAAAATATCAAATTAAATAAAAACACCAACAAAGAAGGCAAGACATGGATTAATAGGGCAATATGTTCAAAAATTTGATATAAATCACTAAATAATATAAGCATATGCAAAGTTAAATCATTTATTTGACAATTAGAATATGCAGTCAACATTTGGTAACTAGAATTCTCTTCTATACCAAAGAATAATCTTACATCAACATCTAACTACTACCAATTTGATACTTTCAAACAAATAAAATATGCAGACTTGTAATATCCATAGAAAAGCAGCTTCATAAATCTACAAAGTATATGGATTTCATCAATAACCAATTACTACAATAATTTCATTATATAAAATTTTAAAATAATGATATGCAATAGTTAATTACCTTTAAATACAGAAGTAACATCCCCAGCTACTGACTGATGAATACCTTCTCTTCTATTCAAACCTAAATCAAAATCATTCTGTTTTTCCAGCTTTCTTAGCTTCTGTAACTCATCTTCCACTATTACTGTAATGTCATTCCAATAATCTAAATTTTTTCCCCTTTCTAACTCTTTATAAACCTTTATATCCTCTACTAAATCTTCTAAATCTTTTATATGTAGACCATTTAGGTATGTGTATGGTTCATGCATTTCCACAGCATCTACCTCTTCTTCTGCACTTATATATTTGGCTAATAAATCTATGGGTTTGGCTCTTCCATCTTGGATTCTTATATGTGATCTCAGTCTTGCTTGTTCTAAATGGAATTTGTCTTCTTGTCTTTCCCACTCTTCAAATTGTGCTGCTTCCTTGCTTCTTTGGAGCATCTGGGTTTCTTCATCCCTCTTCTGTCTTTCTAATTCCCTTTCTAAACGTCTCTTTTTTACCTTTTCCAGTTCTCTTTTGTTTTCTTCTTGTTTTGTCCTGTTTATTGCCTCAATTTCTGCTTGACTAACACCTGTGAACAGAAAGTCATTATATTGATGATTGATAACATACATTTACTATCTAGTTATAAAGATATCAGAAAAAAAAAATAAAATAAAATAAAGACAATAAAATTGAAATCTTGAAACTCTATATTAAAGTTTAAACTCTAGAAAATCTTTTTTAATTTCAGTAATATATCCACACATTCTTTATTCTTTGCATCAGATTGAGAATTTATGGAATAGGAATGGGGTAATGTAACAATCTTAAGAATGGATCAGCAAAAAAAAATGAAAAGAAGGAAACAATATATTTTGGTCACACAATTTATTTTACTTGATTACATAAGACATTATACTGTGAAAATGCAGGGCTTTTGAGCATAATATATCAAATTTAAAGCCACAATGTCTATTATACTTGCCAAACTTCAAGCCAAAAATTCATAACTCTGTACTGTTAAGTGATTTAATATTAATTAAACAAATAAAAACTTGTTTCTTTTCATGTTTTACCTTTCAATCCTTCTTTAGTCAACTTCTTGGACCACACAAATGTAGACAACAAATTTCCGTCCCCAAAAGGATTGTCACTATTTGTATAATGTAAATACTCATTATCCCAACCCATTCTCTCTTTCCTCGATCTCTCTTTGTTTTCCTTCTTGACGAGCCGTCTCATTCGTTTCTCCTCTGCTGTTTCGGTAGCTTTGATTAGTTCTTTTTGCTTTTTCCTTTCTTCTGCAAGTCTAATTCTTTCTTTTGTGAGCTTTTCCAATAGTTTTACTGAATTATCAGAACTGTCACTGTTAGAGCTGGATTCATCAGAACTACTCCTGGATCTTTTTTTCTTTTTCTTTGCTTTTTTACGTTTTTCTTTACTTTTGTCATTACTTTTATCCCGTGTATCTTTATATTTGTCTTTTCCTTTTGAATGTTTGGAATACTGCTTTTTTTTAGTACTGTCCTCTGAACTATTTGAAATTGACCGATCTCTTCGCTTTCGACTACGTTCCATTTTATTTTGTAGACTTCTTAAGAGTTAAAAATATATTAGTAGTAAATATTATTAGTTGTTAATATTTTTTTATGGTTATTCTGGAAAAATTTATAAACATCAGAAACAGGCACAGATAGATTGACAAGTGGATTGACAACGTCAGTCGTCAGTTACCATTTGACATTTGACACTGACAAAGTTAGACGTTTGGTTTACTGAATTTGATATTTGATTCGACAAAGAAACACCTATATCTCGTAACATGAGTAAAAGAGACAACGATATTTGGAAAATAGAAAATGACATTTTTCGATTCGTTTACGTTTGTGAAACATAACCTAATTTAAAAATAGATAAAATTTGTTATCTGGTACTAGAAAACAAACTGTATTGAAAAAGTATTACTGTGTAGTAACATGGTAATACGAAGTTCTAAATTGTGTTTATTGTAGTTCTACTTATTGTCTTAAATACAAAATAAAACAAAATGGATCAAATGCTCCCTAGTCCCGGATTTAGTATCCCAAGTATAGGTGAGTAATATGTTATCAATATTAGATATTTTACGGTAATATTCAAATAATTTAGTATCCTTAATGGGACATAATATATTGTAATAATTTTTGCAACTATTTTTTTAATATCTATCCATTAAACCTACTACATGTTACCAGAGAACTGTGTTACCCCTTTCTGTATATTATTAAATATTTAGTATCAAATACACTGTGAACTGGGTTGAAACAATATTTACTCTATGCTAGTTTAAACTATCTATTCCACCCATTGAAAATATAATTGTATAATATTTTATAGGAACACCGCTTCACCAACCTGAGGAGGATCAACTTATCTTACCAAATGCCCTTCAACAGCAACAGCAGCAGCAACAACAGCAGATCGCAACTAGTAGTTCTCAAGTACCTCCTTTGGCACCAATGGGGGGCTTAACACCTACTCTTGGACTTGGCATGGGCCATGCCATGTCTGTACCACAAACCAAATATGTAACTGGTTTTGCATTGCCCATGAGTTCAATGAATGCACAAACTCCCGTAAGTAGATATGGAAACATTAAAAGTTTGTTTTTATCTATTTCTAATCTTCAAAACCTTCACAAAATAATAAAAATGAACATAAAAGGGAAATAACAGAAACACTTAAAATTTTGTCAAATTAACACATTAATAAAATATATGTATATTTATAACTTATAATAGAAGACATACACTTGAGGTAGAAAATGTTTAATTCAAGATGTTCTAAATTAAAAAGAAAATGTAGTTTGGTATGGCCTACAATTTGGATTTATACTTTTAGCTACAACTTACAGGTTTACCTTAATAAATTTACTATATTTTCAGTTTTGTGTAGTGTTTCTTTTTAACTCTTCATTGGATTTCAATAGATCAAGGAAATTTGAAAAAAAAAATTAGTTATTATGTATTTTATGTTTTCAGCAACACACAATGAGCCCTATGGTCAATTTAGGGGGTTCTATAACCACAGGAGCAGGAGTAACTCCAACAATGGCTCCATCAACTCCTTCGCCAATGACTCCAATGACACCTCATTCTGCAGATCCAGGAATTATTCCACAATTACAGTAAGTCATTTGCTGTTTTATATTCACAGGAAGCAATTTTTCCATTGCAAATATCACTCTAATACTAGCATGCACATTATCTAATAACAGTCTTATTTAATGACCAAAGTGTCTTCAATTCATTCTTACACATATGCAAAAAGTTGTTTTTTTTTTGTTGAAAGCTATAACAAATTGAATACAAACTGCTTACATTGTCCTCTTATTCTAGTTGTAAGTTTTTTGGAACTGATATAATGTAGTAAAACAATTTGTACTTATTTACTACATAAATCAAACTGAAAGTAGCACATTGTGGCTGATGGAAAATCTTTATCACATATGTTCTACTCTGATACTTTAAGAACTTCAGTATTCCTGCTATATTTTTCTGCCAGCATCCTGAATTACTTTCTACATAATATCCAGTGCTGCTCCTAGTAAAATTCATTTACACATATTTCCCACTTATCTTTCTTACTTCCTTTCTATTCTAGACAGCTGGTTCTGAAAGCCCTATGGTCTGTTTCTCCACATGTATAGAATGCAGACTCCTTAGACTTTCAATCCTTTGCTCACTGTCCTCCTAATCTTCATCTCAGCACACATCTCTAGATTTCCTGGCAGTACAGGTAGCCAACCAAGTTTCTTTAATCAAGCAACTTCTCTATCGGTAATGCAATCACTGCTATGTAATGACCCTGCTTCTATGTGATATGCAATCTTTACTCAACAATTGTCCAAAAAGACTAACTAGTGTGTGCCAATACAGTTACAATACTGTATAGTGTTTCACTTAAATGGATGGGTAATGTTGTACATATGCTTGTTAAGTTGTTAAAATTAACTAAATGTTGCAAACAAACAGATTATAACTTAATCTTTGTTTTTCAGAAATATAGTGTCCACAGTAAATCTAAGTTGTAGATTAGACTTAAAGAAAATCGCCCTCCATGCCAGAAACGCTGAGTACAACCCAAAACGTTTTGCAGCTGTAATCATGAGGATACGTGAACCACGTACCACAGCTCTAATCTTCTCTTCCGGAAAAATGGTGTGCACAGGAGCCAAAAGTGAAGAAGACTCGAGGTTAGCGGCCCGAAAGTATGCCAGGATAATCCAAAAACTCGGATTCCCTGCGAAGTTTTTAGATTTCAAAATTCAGAATATGGTCGGCAGTTGTGACGTTAAATTTCCTATAAGACTTGAAGGGCTTGTGCTAACTCACAGCTCTTTCAGCAGTTACGAACCCGAGTTGTTTCCCGGACTTATTTACCGTATGGTAAAACCTAGAATTGTGCTTTTAATTTTCGTGTCTGGCAAAGTTGTATTGACGGGCGCAAAAGTGAGGCAGGAAATATATGAAGCCTTCGATAATATTTATCCTATTTTAAAAAGTTTTAAGAAACAATGATTTTATTCGGTTTTGGAAGATTCTAGGTTTAAGATTAACTGTAAAATTTGTTTGATACATGATTTTTTTGTTTTTTACGGAAAAATAATGACTGTTGTGATTTTAAATATTGATTACGCATTTCAGAATATTTGTATATAGTGCATGAAGAGGTCATTTTAATTTTTTGATAAAGAAACACTTAAAACTTTGTTATTGACTCAATATCGTCGTCATATCAATCAATTCATATCAATTTGGGTTTTTTCTTCAATTTTGCTAGGAAATGGTTCCCGAAACAAAAACACTTCATGGATTAAAGAGGTTATTAGAGACTCATTTTTTAAGTCTTAAACACTTGATGGAGACTGTCTAAATACTAATTTATTTGTCACTACACAAATTCGGTATTATTTTATATGGGATTAAACCATAATTGACTGTAACGGGATTTTTTTAAATGGGGGATGGAAGAACTGCATTTATAAAATACCTTTTGAATGAAGCAATGTTTATTTTATAAAAATATCAAGACCACTAAGTATTAGAATAAATGAACATGAATCATACATTAAAAATAGAGGCTTTGATAGATCCAAGATAGGTGAACATGCCTGGATAATGAGTAAAGAGTGCAATGGAAAGATACATCAACAGACATGAAAGAAAAAAATAGGAAAATTAAAGATTTTTCCTTATCTTACCAAATGTGTGAAATTTTACTATTTATTACAACTTACACTTAAATATTAAGTATTTATCCTTATTAGCATGGTCAAGAAGTTCCTGAATGCCTAAAATAGACAACGAGAGCATTATATTTTTCAACAACAATAAAATAAAGGTTGTATGTTGTGTAACCTGGAATACCAGCAAACAATGAGAGCGGGTAGTCACCAGAATGTTAAAGCACTTAAACAGCTCCAAAAATTTTCTGAATAATTCAAGGTAACAAAAAACTTAAAATCCCAATTCACAAAGGACAACAAGAATTGTTTAGTCACTGCACCACTAGTAGTACCATCGAGCAAAGACAAAAGAGGGAATGTAAAGGTAGTGGGGGCAAACATATTGTTAGACAGGAAGTGCGATCTAGTGAGAGCGCCCACCAAAGTGGCGTGGCAAGCAGCAAGTAGCACGCGTCTAGCATAATGTAACCAATCCAAACGAATGATTAGAATGAATGACGTCACTGTCATTTTGGTGTAAACTGAATCATTCGTTTTCATTGGTTACATTATGCTAGACGCGTGCTACTTGCCACTGCCACGCCACTTTGGTGGGCGCTCTCACTTAGAGGCCACATTAAACAAGGAAAGAGAGTCTCTCTCCTTGTTTGACATCAAATTTAGTTCGGTTATGTTATTGTTTGTCCCAGAGATTCTGGTTTGTCCCAAATGTCACATGAAATCTTATTAATATTGAAGTTTTTTAACAATTGTGTCGCATTTTAGACTCTTATCATTAATAATTAATTAAAACTTTCTCGTCCAAGACACATTCCGAAAAATATTATATAGCTACTGCTAATAAGTGTCGGAAAATTTAAATTTGGCGCATTCGCATTTCCGGATATGTCCGCCATCAGAGGCCACTTTTTTGGTCTCCTTTTCATAAGGATTAGATTCCCTCTTTAGTCTTATTGCTCGATGAGTAGTACACAGTGAACAGTGTAGTGCCACATAACAAATAACAATCAGAATGCCCACTATCTGATGCCGCCTTTGAAGTTTATCAGCACGCCATGCTTTAGACAGAAACATAGACTCGAATTGAGAAATTTGTGACAAGCTACGACAGAACTGTTATTTAAATGTTTAGAGATTAATAATTTAGTACATTTGAAATAATTTAATCTATTCTTCAACAAAAAGTATGAATAAAATATAGTGCATATTATGTCTGTAGTTGCCGTAAATAAATTAAACCGAGTTCATTTGTCTATGCACACCAGATAAATTGTCACAGCACTGGCTCCATTTAAAACATGGCTGATTCCGTCTGGTCTGCGAACGAGATGCGCGTAATTATTTTTTCAAGCAGAGTGGGCATTCTGATTGTTTATTATTCTGTGGTAATGCAATGATCTAGACGAGACTGAAGCCCCAACGATCACAGAGGATATCGAAAGCTCATTGTTGTGAAAATCGACGAGGTTTAACTTGTAAGCCAGGTGAGTTTGACATTAATTTTTTTAATAATATTAATCTTTAGATTGGTTAGATTGTTTTTTATAAAGGAATGTGTACACAAATGGTGTAATGTCGCTGGTGTAATTTTGTTATTAACATTTATACTATTTATATACCAATTGGTGCTTACCTCCAAAATTACGCGACAAGAAGGTCACTAAGCTGTTACAGTATGCATTATTTGATGCTTAAAGAAGCAGTCAGTGGATTTCTAGTTTTCCTTATTTTGGTCTCTTATTTGTTATTTTACCCATAAAAATAGAATGGGATACTTTCCCATACTATTCCCAATAGATGGTACGAATGTAAATTTGAATAATTTTCAAATCCAACGACTGAAAGTGCTTCCATCTATAGTCTTTTAGGGGAAGTCTACAAATAACAACACTCTCCTTCAAGAAAATACTCTCCTAACTCGATGGTCTTAAGGTCGATTCAGACACATCAGTCACGTCACCGTCACGGTACCGAACCGGTCCTGTTTGGTCACAGAACTATCAACTATCTGACAGCTGGGAAACTGTTTGTCAACTGATGAGTGTGAATGCCGGCAACATATTTGTATTAAAGAATATTTTGTATAACGGATTGTTCGGACCTTTAAGGTCAATTCAGACACATCAGTCACGTCTCGTCACAGTGATTGCGCCGAACCGAACAATCCGTTATACAAAATATTCTTTAATACAAATATGTTGCCGGCATTCACACTCATCAGTTGACAAACAGTTTTCCCAGCTGTCAGATAGTTGATAGTTCTGTGACCAAACAGGACCGGTTCGGTACCGTGACGGTGACGTGACTGATGTGTCTGAATCGACCTTAAGCCTTCTATGGATTTGTGTCATTAAAGTCCGCAGCACACTCCCATCTAGAAGTGCCAGTCCAATATTATACAGTAAATGACGATTGACGCATCGTCTAGTGCCAGGGTGCGTAACTATATGTATACATGACGATAAATTCAAAAGGCATGTAAAATTACCTAGCATTGTAAACTCACTTTAAAATAAGGAAAAATCAATATAATCCTAAAATAACAGAAAAATCCTTATTCTATACGATAATATGTATATATTTTTCGTATTCTATTTGGGTTTTCTTGATATGTTGAGGTTATATTTATTTTCCATTCCATATTAAAATTAAAATGCCAAAGTGCATTTCAGAGTTATAGGGGATCACTCACTGAAAATCAGCACAGAAGAGAAGGCTATCCAAGTAACCCCATATGTATTAAATGAAGGCAAAAAAGTTAAGTATGATTTGATAGACAAATTTCGATTTAAATGCATTCACTGGAATACCCATTCTAAATTACCGGAAAAAAATTTATGAAGCTGCCAGTTTGTTAGAAAACAAAAATTCGAAACCATTATCGCTTCAGCTAAAACAACGTATTGTTTTAGTGTTTGGTAAGTTAAAAACTGACCTAACTTTTCTTTGCCTTTCTGTTATTTTTTGTGTCTCGGAAAACAAATGTAGACGTTTTTTTCAGATCATGGTTGAAGTTCTTTCTGAAGTATTAAAACGTGCAATCCCCTGGCCGGGAAAAGAAGAGATTCAAAATAGGATACCTGTTAGTTTTCAGAAATTTCCTGAAACAAGCATTATTTTGGATTGCACAGAATTACTTTTACAAAAAAAGTCAGTGTCTCAAGTGTCGTGTAATTCCATCTACATTTACTGCCAGCCATGGTACACTTCCCGTCATATAAAACTGGTACACTTTTTTTTCCCAATGTAAACCTGTGTTCAGAAATCAATTCGTTGTTGCCATTACAGATAACGGATTTGCACTAAATCTAAATAAACAAATAACGATCAAAAATGTATAAACTTTTTATATAGGTATTATTTTTATCATTACCAAAAAAAACTTAATCTAAGAAATTAAATAAGCAGAAATAGGGTTGAGTTATTATCCAAAATAATTGAAGGCTCTTTAAACCTAGGGTATAGGCACAGGGAACATTGGAATGCATCTACTGTAATTTTATACTTCAATTGTCTACCGAACTCGAACTGTATTCTGTGTCAATAAGTTTTGTAACAGGCAAACTACCAAGAATAATTTATTATTTATTACTAGAACGATAAAAAATGTAAAAAACTAGCATTATACTTTATTCTACGTATTATATACCAGAAAATATTCGGTGCGAAAAAACGCTTTTCAAAACGTAACAGTTACAATACCATATCTCATCGTAATGTTTTATTATAATAATTTGAAGTTTGTCAATATTGATTATCTGTCATTATTTCTGAATTGAAATATTTTCATAAATTTTTATAAAACACAAATCAATGTATGGATTCTTAATTGGGATGATGGAAAATTACAAAATGAATATGAGAATTTTTTAGGATGCATGTTTAAATAAATTTAATGTGACTGACTGATCGAGAATACTCGATAATGTTTTAGTTTTTAGTATACTCAAAACTGGCGGTCTGTCACACAGCCTTACTTTTAGCTGGTTTTATATAATATTTTCGTTGAACTGGCAACGGTGCCCTAGAAATCAGAATGACACAAATGACAAGATCAACGTACACAACTTAAAAAACACGATTTTTGATTATAAGAGTTGTACCAGTTTTGTACCAGACGGGAACGGTACATCATACCATGATACTATGACTAATTGACTAACAAGATCTTCTCGTAGCACAAAATCGCATGATACTATGAATAACAAGATAGGATTTTCACGTAGCTCAAAATCGTTCGGGTTCGCGCATGCCGTCATTGGAGAGTAGAATTTGAAATCTTGTTAAAAGTTAAGTGGATTATGGGTATGCATTCTGTGATGAAATTACTAGACGAAAATAAGTTAAGAGGTTTAATAATTACAATAATCGTACACATAAGGATATCTCCAAACAATTTATTAAAGATTATTTATTGATATATACAAAAAACTGACATTTCGAACGTGCAACTCTCCAATGACGTCACAAAAACATGCGCAATATCTTATCGTCGCAATAACCGCATTATGTCGTA